ATGGAAAAAGGAATAAAAAAGTTTCTAGGGATGAAAATAAAGATAGAAAAATTTCAGGGAAAAAAAGTAAAAAAGAAACATGAGACCGTTTTGAGCAGATTTATGAAAGGTAAGATTATTTATGTAAGGTTTTTAAAGAAATGGTAAAAACCCTGTAGTAGTAGGTCATCAACCGGTCATGGTCTAATGAAAGAGAAGATGAGATGCAAATGTGAGATTATTTTAGGATTACGTAAATGTGAAATTGTTAGGGCATCCCCGTCCATAGATTTTTTTTGAGATTATTTTATAAGATTATTTGATAAAATAATATGGTATCAAATTCTAAAGTTGAATTATTTTGAGATCATTCACAACTTTTAGGTTCCTCTTCCCATTTTCTAGACAACTAATAATAACTAGCTTTGTAAAAAAATCTAGGTAAGTGAAGACCACGAATGAGGAGGAATTGATACATTTGAGATTATTTGAGATTATCTTATGTGGAATTGAAATGACAATAACAAGTAATAAAAAACCTAAACTTGAGTATCATGGATGGGGATGCTCATGTGAAAAGATCGATAAAAGGAGAATTTATTCTTGTCAACTTTTTCCAAAAAAAGCTACCATTATCATAAAAAATTTGGTTGACATTTATAATGAAGTGAATTATATTGACCACACGTTTCTTATTCGAAAAGAAACATGACAATTATTTTACACAATTCATAAAGGAAAATAAAACAAGTAAAATAGGAGGTGTGAAATATTAATTAATTGTAGTTAGAATTCAACCTAGCATGCCTTGGTGTTACGATATTTTTTTTAAACGTGTTAGATTTTGAAATTTCGATTCGGTACGGTATACTGAATATTTTTTCTCATACTTCTGCCGTACCAAAACTTTCGGTATACAAAAATTATATACCGTTACATTACCGAAGTTTCGGTATACCGCATTTCGGTATACCGATGTTTCAGTTCGGTAACAGTACGGTATCGGTAAATTACCATGCATGTCCCCCAATTAAAAAACTTTGCTATAGACTAACAAAATATAATAAATCGGTGTACTAACGACATATTTATTCCATTATTAAAATGTTACAAAATACAACTAATAATTTATTGATGTCATATTCAATATTCAACAATAATTATTATTAGTATATTTAAGCAGTTCAGCATATTTAAATAACTTGAACAATATAGATATAATTAAATGAATGGTGATCACTAACAAAAATAAATAAAATTATTCAAACAACGTGGATATAAAATCATTTATCCATAATATGATGTTGTGCATTTAGTCTTTTTTATAATTTTAAATAAAAAAATTGAATAAGACTTTCAGACAAAGTTTTGTGTCTCGACTTGCGGAATCTCTATGTCGATACACTCGTCACATAAGTGTACCCTTCTTCACTCGTCAGCTACTCAACAGCTCAGCCATCGCGACTCACAAGCTTATGGAACAGAATGAACTCGTCTGGACATTAGTATATTACTCATTAGTCATTAGGGTTTGTTTGTTTGAAAATTACGTAGTGTAAGCCTAGAAGGTTATAGTGGATTTGAGAAATTGGGCCTTTATTTTTGTATTTTGATATTTGTAACAAACATAAGTATTAATTTTGGACTTCAAACTTGTAATGGACTTTTACAATATTTTAGAATTTATAGTAATCGTTGGGTACTTTGGTGGGAGTCGGTACGGTATTATACCGGTATACTGCAGTATTTGAAAACATTTACCGTTACGGTACCGAAATATATCGGTACGGTCTCATATCGTACTGAAAAATGACGGTATACTAATATTCCGGTACTTTTCGATTTTTTCAGTACGGTAAATGCGGTATACCGATTTTCCAGTATTTTTACCCACACCACATAGGAGACCTTAGACCATTTGGAGTGGTGAGGTACTAGGAGTCCAAAATGGTAAAAGTGGAATTTTTGGACTCCTAAATTCTTGTAGTGGTAGGCTAAATGGAGGAGTAAAAGTGGAGAAGGGGATGGAGGGGTTTATTAATGAAGGGTGTTAAAGGAGGAGGCTAAAGAAAAAGAATGAGAGTGGGGGCTGTGCGCAGAGGGGAAAAACGGATGGGATCATCTGTAGAATGCGCAGGAAGGGGTTAGGGATTTAATTTTTGTGATGTGAGGATGATGTCACACAGCAATAACTTTAAAAAATATTGGTAGATCCAACGGTTGTGATGATTTGGACACTGTTTGAACTGGAAAAAAATTGATCCAATGGCTGAAATTGAAATCCAACGGTTAAAATAATTTATTTTATTTTTCCATTATTTTTAATTAATATTTTGTCCGAAAATCCTATATAAACACCCCATCCCTTCATATTTTAATCGCACGTCTCTCATTTATCTCATTCTTCATCATATTTTCTTTACTATATAAAATTTTGTGACGTCTTCCTCAAGAAGAGGTGCTAATTGGAATGTTAGTGAGGATGTTGCTCTATGCAACGCTTGGGTAAGCATATATGAAGATGGTGCGATTGACATAAATCAACTGGGGGAGAGTTTTTATAAAACTGTAATTACTTATTCATGCGCATAACTAATACTTTTATATTTTATACTATTTTAATATAACGCAATCACTATTTTAGCAGAGATATATATAACTGTAATTAAAAAAATTATATACTACTATATTTTCGAAATATATATATTATATTACGGAGTAATACTTTTTAGTACATATTAGTAAAGTGTATATAATATATATACACTTTTCATATTATATTAACTATATTATTATGCATGATAAAAAAACTATATTATTATGCATTTTACGCATTTATTTTTATATTGTAGGATTTTCAAGCCAAGAACATTTTCATGAATGATAACCATGACAAGCCATTCAAATTTGAGCATGCATGGCGTATCCTTCACTCGTGCCCAAAGTGGTACCAACAATATGAAGCTCCGATATCATTCACCGGCCAATATCGCCTCCACAATCGCACGATTCGTCCACACTCGGAGGTGGTGCTAGCTCTCCCTCAGATGGAGAGCCACTTCAACGCCCTGAAGGACGGGACAAACAAAAGGCCAAAGGAAGTGGAAAGGCAAAGACGTCTAAGCTAGATCCAATGATGACGCAATGTTTTCAAGAAATGATTGAGCAAGACAGAGAACAAGCTGCAAGAAGAGCGAAACGCGACGAGCTTCAACACAAGGCCGTGGAGTCGGAGATTATGAAAAAACAGTATGACTTACTAGCTGCGGACCTTTTAAAGTTTTCACCGAGGAAGCAAAGGTGGATTAGGCAAAAGCAAGATGAAATCATGGGGTATTCTCAAAATGCCTCAAGTGATGTTCCCGACACTTCCGCAAAAGAAGAAGTGTTTCGTCCCCACTTCGATTTTTAGTTATTTATGTGTTGTTGTTTTTATTTTGTATTGTGTTGTAAGTTGAATTTCACGTATGTTTCAATTTTAAATTCCGTGTTTTGTTATTTTAATTTATTCCATGTGTGCTTATTTTAATGTTCACAATTATTTTAATTTTAATTCCATTTATTATACTCCCTCCGTCCCGTTGGAATGTTCTCGGTTTGACCTACACACATATTAAGGAAATAAACTTACCAGAGGTAAATTTTACTGTTTTGACATTGTTTCGACTCTGTTTGACACTGTTTCAACATTGTTTGACACTGTTTTGCACTGTTTGATCCCGTTTTGATGTAAGATAACTTTCTATTTAGGGAAACAGGAACTTTCCAACGGGACATCCAAAAAAGGAAAGCGGGAACATTCCACAGGACGGAGGGAGTAGTAATTATAAGTCTTTCACATTATTTAGTACTCCCTCCGCTCCCCTATTATTTTCCCATTTCCTATTCACTTGGTCAACACAAATCACTCTTAATCTCTTACTTTATGTATCAAATTTTTATACAATTTGATTTTGGTTTTTGCGACTTTGTAAATCTTTTGATGTAGTTTCTGTATATGTAATTTTTTTTCCTAAAAATAATTTGAGTGCGGACAGGGATCTGTTTGCTTTATCGTTGGTCAAGCATCGTAAACCGCAATGGGACAATAAAAGGGGACGGAGGGATAAGATATTAGATAGATATAAATATTTTACACAAACTCAAATATTTTTTAAGGCACATAAAAGTTCGAGAAATACATAAAGATTTTAGGAAAAACATAAATAGTATAAATACGAAGTTAACACTAGTAAATGAAATACATGAAACACAATTGGATTAAGGAAACACAATTTGATGCTCACACCAAGTGGAGGATACATCCAATTTATTATGCTTGGATACACAAGTGTAAAATAACATCCAATGTGCTATGAAAGGACACACGTCACACGTAATGGAAAAGAGAATCCAATGTCATATAATGTGATCTCAATGACATACATAATGAAAAAGAGAATCCAAGGTGACATGAATACACACAAAAGTTGAAAAAGGAATCCAACGTGCTATGGATAGACACACAAGTTGAGAAGAGAATCCAATGCTCCAATGTGTTTGAACTTACTTCATCGAAAAATGTAAAAAAAAAATATTAATGCTTTTTTACATCGAAATCTGTCTTTTTTATTTTATAATTAATCAGAGAAAAAATTAAAAGAAAAACATTACTTATAATAATTTAATTAATATTTTACTAAATTAATATGCAAAAAATGTGCAAGGTGCATTTTATTAACGGTGCTGGAATGCAGAAAAATATGAGTCAAAACAATATTTTCATGTGAACGAAATACATTTTTAACATTTAGACTCTCCTCCAAATTTTCTTTCCCATAAAACTCGGCACAATCAACCCGACTAATGGGCCATACCTTCCTCTGCACATGCGCCTCCATCGCGCAATGCATCTAGCAGTTGTACCCTTCATAATTGACGGTGGATATCCAAACGTACAACCTTGACGTAAACTTGTTCCAAGCCCCTTCGAGCCCAGGGCGTGATTGCTGTTCTCGAAATCGATCGGAAAATGGGGAGAGGAAATAACAGACAAGGATCCAGCAGATCCAGAAGTCGAAGGACCCGAAGCACTTATCCGGACCGCCCTCTTTTCGTCGTAGGTGGTGCCTTGTCTCAATGGCAGGCCTCGGATCCTACCCCTAGAGGTTCTCTCAATCCTAAAAATGTTTTGGAAATTCGAGCTTCATTTATGCTTATTTGCGCGCGCCATAGAATTGTTTATATTCGTTTTTGATTGGGACTCTTAGGGAATAGCTTGCGGGGTGGATATGGAAACGGAAGTAGAAATCCCAGAAGTAGTGACAGGGATGTAGCCACACCGAAGAATAATTCCCGTTCGGATTCCAAGTCCAGAAGTCAATCTATGAAGACTAGAGGAAGTGCGATTGCTTATGCATATCCCTGTGCTGATGGTCAGGTGAATGTTTTTTGTTTTGTAGAAACGTAGAGAACATTTGATTCCCAAGATAGAACGCGTGCTTTTAGAGTACAAAGCGTAGAAATATTTGCTGTAGTCTCTGTAGTGTCTTATTGTCTCCCGTTTTTAACTTGCCTTCTTCTTTTTCTTGGTAAAATATAAAGGATCAATTCTTTAATGAATAGATTTGGATATGTATTAGGAAGGTTTTGCTGGTGAGAGCATTGGAGAAGTTAAGGATACTAAGTCAGAGCAGATGCATCCTATTGTTTTGGTTGATTCAATGGAATCGAGAATTTTCGCATATCTAGATGAAGGACCAAAGAAGGAACCTCAAAATTCAGAGACTCTTTATGAGTATAGTACAAATTTTACACTTGGTGATGCATCAGATGATGAACAACAACAAATGGAATATGCTTATGATTACAGTACCTGTGTCTCAGTGGATGAAGGCACACACACGGGATTAGGATTCCACAATAAAGCAGAAGCAGTGAATGGTGTTGTATCATCTTCCAAAGCTGATGAGAAGGAAGATACTGACTCTGGATCGTCTTGCTCAGATGAGGAAAATGGAGGGTTTTTGTCCATCGGGGGTCTGAGATTGTACACACACGATATATCCGATCAAGAAGAAGAAGAAGAAGAAGAAACATCTGACGAAGAAAGTTCAGATTCTTCTGAAAATTCATCTGATGATTGCAGTGATGAGTTTGAAAGCGGTTCAGGAATAGATGATGAAATTGCTGCAGATTATCTTGAAAGTACCGGGGGGATTGATCATATTGTGAATGTTGATAAGCTTGTTGAACAAATTAAGGATGAGGATGATAGACTTAATGAAGCATTAGAGAAGCTTGGAGGCATTGCTCTCCAAGACGCATCAACAAAGTATGGCATGGAGAAGCACCAGACTAGTAGAAAAACCCTTGCAAAATCCCAATATACCCCTCCCAGGCATGTCCTGTCACCTGTAATGGATGACCTTATGTTTGTAAAAGATCCAAGAACTATTTCAGGTAGAAAGAAGCACACTGCCAAATTTCCTCACTCATGGCCTTTCGAGTCTCAAAAAAGCAAAAACTTCAGGAGGATTCCAGGTATGGAATATATGTGTGTGTGTATGTGTGTGTATAGATGCACAAAAATAAGATTTTTAGTGGAATTATTGAATTGGTAATGGTATGAAACAACAAATTACTGGACCCTATGGAACTGGAAATTGGAAGGAAAAGAAGAGATGGATGCAACAAAAAGTAGATTTAGAACAAAATTTGGTGGGGGGGGGAGTAAGTTTGACCAAACTCAATAGATCAATTTTAGATATTTGTTCAAACTTATAGTTTTGTATATGCTTCTATTATACAAAGATAAGGAATATGAATATATTAAAAAATTTGAAACTTTTATTGAAATTTGATTTGCCTTTGTAATTTCCAACTTGAAACCCAACACAGAAAACTTAACTTCCATAACTCATTCCACTCTCCCTACCATTTTCTGTGTTCCAAACATGGCCTATAAGTCTGGTTGCAAATATGGGTTTGAACTCTTTATTCATTGTGATTTATGTTGTCAATTTTCCACAAAGTTTGCTTTTGTATTTAATTTGAGTTCAATATGATGCATTTCCATCATTTATGTCCTCTAATATAAAAAATTGTGTCTTCAACTCCAATGTATTAGTGTATTTACTTCTAGCTTATGATCTCAGGTGAAAAGAAGAAACACCGGAAGGAAGTAATTGCGATGAAGCGCCAAGAAAGAATGATTAGGCGCGGTGTTGATCTCCAGAAAATTAATGTGGTAATAAATTGATGGGTTTTTCTTTTAGGGTATCTTTGGGAGTTTAGTTTGGAGAGAAATGTTTTTTTTTTAACTTGATTAGGAGTATTAATATAATATTGCTATTCACTATTGTAATAAAAACAAATATTTTTGTACTGATAAATGATTAGTACATTGAATTTATACTGATGTATTTTATGAAAAGCATCACGCCAGGCACTGTTTACTTTTAATGAGAAAATAACACCTCCAAAACCTAACTCCCAAACATCTTAAGGATAAGTTGGTCAGATGCCAGGGATTGCACCTAATTGGTCTACAGTCTTCAAACAATAGAAATGAATTCACCAATCACCATGCATTAAATTAAATTTATATTTAGTGCTCATATTTCACCTTTAAAAGCGTTTACTAAAACAAGCATTTACTATCCAAATTACAAAGCTTTGGTCACTAATATGAGTTTGGCAGATTGAGAAATGTATCAAAAAGTTATGATACTGATATTCCTTTGTGTTTTATTAAATAAAAATAGAAAATTATATGCTTGAAGGGGAGCCTTGGTGAACCGGTTAAGGTGCTGTTGTATGACTGAGAGGTCACATGTTCAAGTCTTGGGAGCGGTCTCTTGTCAAAAATATGACATGAGAAGGCTTGCCCGTATACACCCTTGTGGTGAGACCCTTCCCTGGACCCTTGCCCTTGCGGGGATGCCTTTACACCGGGCTTCCTTTTTTAGAAAATAATATGCTTCACTTGAAAAATAATTGGCTTCACGCGTCTGAAAATATTTTCTTCTGAACACAAATTATTAACAGTAAAAACTTATTGGCAGAATGGCAGTTCTCCTCAATTATTGATATTGACCTAATTCTTAATGTAGAAATTGCAACAGATGGTTTTGGATGGGGCTGATATTCTATCATTTGAACCTATGCACACAAAAGATTGTTCCCAGGTATGATGCTTTTTACCTCAAGATTAGGGCAATTAGCAGTCATAGTAATACTAATAGTAATAATCATTTGGATGATAATAATAATACAGAGTAAATGCTTAGTATCCAAAGTGCTTAAATACCTTTTTGATGCATTTCTAGTTAATAGAAGGTCCTGTAATGTTCTGATGTGGGTTGACCATTCAGTCTACACTAGTTTAATACTCCCTTTCTTCTTTTAACTGCACCGCCTTCTACATATACCAAGAAAATCACTTAAATCTCATAAATCAATCACATTTATCTTGTCATACCAAAATTACCCTTATTTATCACATTGTAAATTGTTAAGTTTCAATATATGGGCAATAAAGTATAGTGGGTAGCATTGGTAAAAAAACATTAGTCCACCAATGCACCATGTGTTTGCGAACTGGATAGATAAAAATACCATTAACATCTGAGAAGGATACTAGTGGTACTCTATGGTCTTAAATCCTTGGTGTGTATAGGTACGTAGACTTGCATCAATCTACCGCTTGTGGAGTGGCTCTCAAGGTTCTGGTAAAAAGAGGTATAGTACTCAACATATATTCTAAATTTTAGCTTGTCTACTTCAGGTTTTGTACTTAGTACATGATATATATTACGAGCCCGTTTGGTAATACCAAAATCGGCTGAATCGGTTGATTCTGTTGAAATTTATGAAATTCTGGCTGAAGTGGCTGAATAGGCTGATTCTGCCGATTTATTAAAAAATTATTTTTAAAATATATTTTATTAATAAAATAAAGGAAAAATTATATGTAAAAATAGCTAAATTGGTCCTCTACAGTAACTTCAGCCAATACAACCAGAAAAGTAACTCGAACCTTACTTTTTCTTATTATTACGCAATTAAGCGCCCGAATTAAAAAATTACGTGTTGGTGAAAAAGTTGGCTGAAAAGTCGAAAAACTGTGCTACCAAACGGGCTCTACATTTCATTTGTCTCATAGTATCACTTTTGTAGATTTGTCACTGTAGCAAGAGCACATAATACAAGTATGCCATCAGCCCATGATAGAGTACGCTTAGAAAAGGTACTATGCGTACATGATTTCAGTTTTTATCTATTACTCCTAATTATTAATTACTTACTGTTACGAGAAAGCTCGACATCCCACTAGTGGATTCTTAACCAATCCACCTTGGTTGGGTTGGATGTTAAAATTCTTGCCTGAGGTGGATGGTAGATTAGATCCACTTAAAATTGTTACCGTCCAATCAGCCCTAACATACAATATTTATATACTCCATGTCTCCATCTATCATAAAAAAGCTCAATACTTTTTTGTCCCAAAATAGTCCTATTTCATAAAACTAGAATTTCATGTAAATTACCAAAAAGACTAGTTCTTTATATGGTGAATTTATTTAAATAGGAAATTAGCTAAAATATAAGTAGGAATCCATGACTTCTTTTGACTTATACCTTGGTCATATTAGCGTTTTAATATAATATAAGATGTCTATTTTTTATGTAAAATATTTATTAAAAACTAAAGATTATATAATACTTTGTAAATAAATTTTTATTCTAACCAAATTTGTGACAATGTTATTCACATATTTAGAATGTTATAAATATTTTTAAAGTTAGATTTAAATGAAAATATTAGTCAATTATCATATAATAAATAATTAGAACTATTGTAACATAAAAACTAATATTTTGCCAATATTTAGTGGATAACTGCAATAGTTCTGGGGATGCCCAAAAAAATTACCCGAGGTATAGATATTGGGTCTACTGGTACTTGTTTATGTAGGATCCAGTGGTGGATAGGCTCACTTGACCTGGACCTGGTCCTGGTCCATTGCCATCCATGTTTTCTGCATTGTCCTCGCCTATCGCCGTACCTGACTTTTGGTGATTTTTGAATTCTAAGTTGATAGGAGGTAATGAAGAGGATGATGACTTTGTAGTCAATGATGAAAGATTTGATAGAAAGGACCACAAACCCTGGAACAAATCTTCAAGAGGCAAATGCTCTACATCAAGAGCACCCAGGGACTCAAACTCTTCTCAGATAAAACCACTCAAAAGCTTTTTGAATTCTGGGGGCAATAATAAAGATTCATCAAGCAGAAAGAAGCGGGATGGTAAAATTGGTCCTTCATACTCTTCTCAACCCGTGTCATTCATATCAAGCGGTATAATGGGTTCAGAGAAAGTTGAGGAGAAAGCTATTGAAGAATCAAAGGAGTCAAATATATCAACCCCGCTGGAGAACTATGGTGCATTTGAGTTGCATACAACCGGTTTTGGTTCCAAAATGATGGTTAAAATGGGCTTCACAGGTGGAGGTTTAGGAAAGGATGGGCAGGGTATTGCAGAGCCCATCCAAGTTTCTCAACGTCCCAAAGCACTTGGTTTGGGAGCTCCCATTGCTGAAACGAGCACTGTTAAGGTAACCACTCTACTCTAGACTTCTAGAGTATCTTTGGATCTTAGGAAATGCTAGGGAAATGGGGAAAATGCTTACCCTGAAAAATATAAAGGAGGAAGTAACACGACTTTTATATATTAACATTTCTCAGTCTATATTACTACATATATGCATAAATAAAGTGAGTATCAACAAATATATAAGATAAGTTTATGGAGTTCTAGAACCTATTTGGTAAGACCTAAAATGGCTGAATTGCTGAAATTGTGGCAGAAATATGCTGAAACATTCACACTATCCTTTCCAATGAGTCGATTCAGCGGGCATAGTGAAATAAGATGGTGTTTGGTATAAAGTATGGCTCATGAGGCTGATAAACCCAAAAAGTATGCAAATGGGTATTACTTAGTAGTTTTGGCAAAGCTTAAAATAACTGGAGTGGTTATTCTGCCAAAGTAATTGAATTTTTGACTGAAATTGAGAATTTGTTGAAATATAGAAAAACTATATTATTAACGCATTACAGAAAAATATATCCAAAAAGGCAAATATGGTCATCTCCTGCAACTTCAGCATTTCAGAAAAAAAAAAAGTATAACCAGCCTTTTATCTTTTTATTAACCAGTTCAGTGTGCAGACTGCAGAGTCAAAAGTTAGTGTTTTGTAAAAAAAGGCTCATAAGCTGAAATTTAGACTATATAAAGGCCACTTGATCTTACTTTCCTTTTGTCCACATTTTCTTTTCTTCAAAGTTTCTTCTACTTATACTTTCCTTTTCCATACCCCAGCGTGTTCTGGATTCCAGACGGACCCATACTGAATCAGTTGATTATGGCAAGGATATCCCGGGAAGAAGCAGGAATTCGGGGAAGAGAGGACCTAATGGTCGTAAGGCTCAGGACGAATCTCAAGGGTTTGCAGCGTTTGAGAATCACACGAAAGGTTTTGGATCCAAGATGATGGCAAAGATGGGGTTTGTTGAAGGCATGGGACTTGGAAGGGATTCCCAAGGTATCACCACTCCTATACATGCTGTGAGGCGTCCTAAATCACAAGGGTTGGGTGCTAAAAGATGATTTATTTACTATTTCACTTCTATGATGTACGAAGTATAACTTAGGGATGTGTTTACTTTAGCTATCAGTGTTCACTATTTATATTTTAGAACTCACTACAATAGTAGTATTTCACTGCGTAGGTTTTATTTTATTTATTATTTAGATATACTCTCGAAATATCGTAATTAACGAGCATTATGTTGGGAAATGTTCAATGTTTATTAAATAAAGGCTTTCCTTTTTTAATCTTCTTATTTCTCACTTTAAAAAGGGATCTTTATTTAAAGATACCACAATCAGGCCCACAGTAGTATTATAATTGCATATATTTAAAAATTAATATAAAAAGTAAAAAAGTGCGATTATATTTAAGGGTATAAATGAACACGACTGAAACAGTGTTTAAATACTCCCTCCGTCCCGTTGGAATGTTCCCGCTTTCCTTTTTTGGATGTCCCGTTGGAAAGTTCCCATTTCTCTAAATGAAAAGTTATCCTACATCAAAACAGGGTCAAACAGTGCAAAACAGTGTCGAAAAAGTGCCAAACAGTGTCGAAACAGTAAAATTTATCCTCTGTTAAGTTTATTTCCTTAATATGTGTGTAGGTCAAATCGGGAACATTCCAACGGGACGGGGGGAGTATGAGCTTACAATACTTACATTATACTTCCGATGAGGCCAGCAAGATAGTATTGGTGCCAACTGCCGATGAGGCAATGACTTCAAGTGGAAGATTAATTGAATAATCTCTCCGATATGCATGATTCAATCATAGACACTCGTCGAAATGGGCAAATTGATGGTTCAAGAATAAAGGGTGAATCCCAAATATGAGTAAAACCATAAAAGTAACCCCAAATTCTTAAATAGGAGTGATAAAGTATATAGACTCGGACCTCGATGAGACAATAACCTTTTATGTAGTTGGATCAATAAGACTCATACACCCTCGATTAGCGGTCAATCTCTCTATATATACCCTCTTTGGGAGTCTCTTGTAAACTCTAATCATTATTCACATTTTCACCATCTTCTTTACTCTCTCTAGCTCACAACTCTCCTACATAATATAGTTTGGATACCCTATTATCATTAAGGAATTAGAAAAAAACAAGAGCAAAATGGAGTATATATAGAATCAAAAGTACATATCATCTAAATAATACTACATCAATCCCGTTGGAAAGTTCCCATAGCTAAATGACACGGTTATTTAAGCAATAATTAAATAAAGTACTTTCGGTATATTTTGAGAAATAACTCTAATAGTTATATATTATAATGTAGTCGGTATTGGTGAATGTGATGTTATAAATGTATTATTTTTAATATTTAATGATTAATTTTCACTTAAGATTGTTAATTCTTTCCTAAAATTGAAATGAGAACCTTTATATGGGACGTCCAAAAAAGGAAAGTGGGAACCTTCTAATGGAACGGAGGGAGTAGTATTATTTAACTTTAAATAGTTATTAGTTACTATAAATCCTTGCCACCCTTGCACCATCAACTAGCATTAATTGCTCTCGTTTATTTTACGGAGTCCTATCTTGCTACCTCTCTCACTATCATTTTCCTTCTAGTGACATCTTGTTATTCAATTATTGGACTCTAACTCTATCACTAGTTTCAATATCTTCTGGCTACCGATATTGGATTATATTACTATTATCTTGCTATACTTTTATCATGCTTTTACATTCATTTTTTACATTCACTTTCATCAAAGTAAATGTTGAATAAGCGCTACTAATGCCATTTCAATAACTACTATTGCCATATTTGTCTATGATTGGAAGAGAGTGATTATTAGATGGAAATTGGAATGGACAAAACTACTATTGCCATATTTGTCTATGTGGTCTAGTACAACCCAATTTGAAATATTTGTCACCAATTTAAAATACTTGTCATGAAAGAAAGAGATGGAGAGCATTAGGTTTTGTAATATAAAACATGGCCTATGATGTAAGTTAAACTTTCAATAGGATTACCGCTCCTATTTGAGAAGAAAATCAAGTAGTCATATTAATAATTTTAGCAATGTTTTACTTTCAGTTAATATAATTTCAAGAATAAATATTATCAATTATAAAAAACAATAAATCTCATCAAAACAATCCTTTAATTTTCTCTACTATGCAAAAATGTAATGTTAAAAGGTTGAGATAGGTGAAAGAAGGTAATTAACAGTAAAAAGTTATGATATTATATTTAGATTGTGTTATACTACGTATAAAACTTTCACCATATGTAATTTAAATATGCATATATATGTAATTTAAATACCCCAAACTTTATATAAAAAATTATTTTATCACCATAGTCAAATATTATTTCTTAAAAAAGTAAATATGATGTGAATTGCATAATTTCCTTTTTAGAATTAATGAAGACACCATTAACATTCTAAACTTCCATTGCAAAATGAATAATACTTCCCTCAATCTATATATATGCAACACTTTTAATTTGAAATTTTAAATTATGTAATCTATATAATTTTTTTTATCTTACACCTCTTTAAAATTTGGGGTATTTTTATTATTTTCCCTTACTTTAAAAACAAAATAAAATAGAGTATATTATAAAAACAAAAACAAAAGAAAAGGTGAATCCTATATTCTCTCCTGTCCACAGTTCGTTAGGCAGGCTTCGTGTGTTCGTTACTTCGTTCTTTTCAGTTCAACGTCAATTACGAGCGACAATGCATGATATTCCCCCCAAAATTTATCTTCTATGGCTTCCGGATCGAAATGCAACAAGGTAGGGAACACCGGCGGTTCGTCGGAGAACGGCGCCGACTTCAGAGGTGGCAGCGGGAACGCCCCTTTTGAGTACTCCGGCTGGGTGTATCATCTCGGGGTTAATTCAATTGGTCATGAGTATTTCCGCCACCGGTTCCTTATCATCCGCGGCATGTTCGTCCAAATGTATAAGCGTGATCCCCGTGAATATCCCCGCGCTGTAAGCATAATAATAAGACATTGCCATAATTGTTTGGTTTATATTTGTATATTTTGGTTGAATTCATTTTGAATTTGTTTATCTATTGTGATCGAATTGAGTGAAATGAACCATATGCTGTACTTGAATTTTGATATTCATCTATTTTCAGCCCGGCTAAGTTTTGCCAAAATTTGTTGTTAACCCTTTCTTGGTGCAGAGGCCCGTTAGGAGGGGAGTTATTGGTAACTCATTTGTGGTGGAGGGATTAGGCCATAGAAGAGTTAATCACGGGGTAAGACTCCTGTATCTAAATATGGAGTACAATGTAACTACCTGATGCATTTAGCTTGTCTTTATTTCCCTCATATAATTGCTTAACTATATCTAGACCCTGCTTACACTGGGATCCTTAATTCTTTATACTCTGGTTACCGTTATTTTATTTGTTTTGATTATTTGCTTCCATTTCCTCACTGATTATTCTGCCTTGCCTTCCTATTCTAAAGACTGATTTTTTAATGTATATTTTAGGATGTATATGTTGTGAGATTTTACAACAGATCGGATGAGACAAAAAAGGGAGAAGTAAGTGTTTTATGTCATTCTTGGTTATGTTTGAGGATCTTACTTCAAGCGTTTGTTTACAATGCTGTACTTTAATGCTCAAATCAAATTTCACTTCAGATCACTTTTGTCAAAGGCTGTCTGATCCATTTACATATTAGTAACTTTTAATTGGTAACAGATTGCTTGTGCTACTGCTGCAGAGGCTGAAAAATGGATGGATGCCTTCGATCATGCAAAGAAACAGGTATAAAGAACCAGAATGGTACATTTAGATATGGTTAAGGGCATAGCTTTATGGGCCCAAGGTCTTAAATAATACAACTTCCATGTTTAAACTGTCTTGCCTTGGAAAAAGTTACTTTTTTCTTCTTAAATCTCATTGCCGACCCTTTAATTGTAGGTGGAGGTTGGGTTTTCAAGTGGTGATGCTGCAATACATAAGCTCAGCACCGAGAACGAGTATGGTTACACTCTCTTTTGAGAAAAAACTACGCCTAGATGTCTTATATATGCCGTGTGTGAAAACATTAAATAGAGGCTTTTTAGAATCCTCCTACACCTTACATCTGTCTAGGGTAAAACAAGAGAGTAGTTCAGAGAATCTAGAGATGAAGGAACCATTTCAACATGTTCATAGACCATGCTTTCTGTTTGCTCCTGTTTGATTTAACATATCATTAACTTCCTTGACATGATATATATGGTACATGTATAATGTGGGTGTGGGTGTACATATTCCTCTGATCTTTCCAGTTTCAACTTGGCCAATCATGACGGCATGAGGATTTATGACTCACTGAGATGCTTCATGACCTGCAATATTTAAGTCTTCTTAAATACTTTTATGTAATTGTCACTTGAAAAAGTTTATGATCTGTTATATGAACTCGGGATTTTCCAACTACGGCTACATCTTTTATTGAAGGATTAACCGAGAAGGACATCGACCGAAGGTGCGGCGGTATGCAAATGGATTGAAAGAGCTAATAAAAAGAGGACAAGGTTAGTTTGTGGAGACATGACTTCTTGCTCTTGCAGATTTACATTTCCCTGTCACACACTCATATGTAGTTCTGTAGGTTTGTGATTTTGTGTGTATACTATTTGATTGATAAGGTCCATGACAAGAATTCTGGAACAGCATGTATAATTTTTTGTCAACAATATAACATGAGATTGGAGATATGTCTTTTGTGTTTTCCTGTTTGATGCTATTAATCCACAGCACATTTTCTTAACTTAATTGAAGACTCTTGAGATAACTTTCAATATAATAATCCAGTCCTTCAATTTAAGAGAAGATATCATAGTTTTCATACAGTGGATCGTGTTCAAATTCAGTATTTTAGTGTGAGTGGGCTTCTTGCAAACCAGCACATTTCTATCCTCAAGGAATAAAGTATCTGTCAACATTCTTGTAAACAGGGACAGAAAAACTTCTACGGCTATCATCAACCTTATGCGCTGACAGCATACCAGAGCTATACTATGAAGCACATGGTGGTGATGCTACTGAAGCCCGTGAATGGAAATGTATCCGCACGATAAATGGTACATGCTTTTTTAGCTCTTAGAGTCTCTGTTCTTTTGAAATATACTAGGGTTTGGACATTTGATCGATGCTGCCATAGTAGGGAAGTGTCCACTTGGTGGCTAGTTGGTGCAGGGGTTGCATTGAAGCTCCCATATAAGTTGGTCATTCAAATCTTATTTATTTCGACTTTCATGTTCTTAAGAATATCTTCCACGTGCAACTAGAGAAAAACGATAAAAATACTACTCGTATTACAAAGAAGATAGGGGGCGTTTGGTAAGATGTAAAATAATTACTTCGCATGCGAAGCGTAAGGACGTAAAATGTTTACAGTGTTTGGCTTTGATTATTTAATGTAAACTGTAAGGCACTTTTTAAAAACATTTTGCACTGTACCATGTAAAGTATTTTACGTGGGGGGAAGGTGGTAAAATACTTTGCATGTTTTTTATAAAGCACTGCAGTGCTTTTGCGTGCAAATTAAAAATAAATTAAATATCCAACCGAAAAATGTAATCTATTTTACATGCAAACTGAATTGTGAGTTGTTGAAAATAGGCTGCACTAGGGCTACCTTTCTCTATCGCAACATATTTAACTTGATCCACTTTTTGCTTGCATCTGTTGAATTTTTGGCCTTTGCTTGAATCTCTTGAATATACATTTGAAATGTTGAAATCCATTGAAGTTATGTAAAAAAAATTCATTTGTAACTGTAAATTGGAAGAAAATAGGGAAAGGTTTCTCTATTCTGATCATTATTGTATATTCCATACGAGAAGAAGATTACAATATATATATACAGCTAGAGATTCAACCTAAGTAGTAATATGATAGGTTTCTAGCTAATTTCACAGTAAATTCAAGAAAAGAAAGATAAAGAATGAACTGTCTCAAGAAGGTCGATTAACAGAGAAGAAGAAAGAGATACAAAGGCAGTTAGAGAATCCCAGTCCAACAAAATAATACCAGCCGTTTTCAACTAAACATAACACCTCGTATCTATAATAGCCAACCCCCTCTCCCATATACAAACAATCTAATTATAAATTAGTCCCCTTTCCCCTTCTATTTTATACTTTCTCGGAATAGGTACTACTATCCTTAAGAGTAGGTTGTTGCCTTCCTTGATCTCTATCATAATATAAGGAAGGAATCCTGCTAATAAAAGTCTCCTAAGAATAAGGGATATTTAAAGATTCTGAGATCTCTAAGATATCGCCTACTAAATAAAATATCAGTGAATCTAAGATATGCAATAAGTAAAATAATCTACAGTAACAAAAAGTTGGAGGTCCTCGAACTCAGTGTTGTTTTCTCATCACTGTTAATGGGTTTAACTTGTACTTCATACTAATCATCAATGTTGGTCTGCACTCTGTTTCTATGTGAAATGTGGCCGACTTTATAACATACAATTTGGCGAGTTTGCTAAGGACTACTTTGTACTCCTTATATAGTATACATAATAAAGATTTAAGTGCTAATGGCCATATTCAGCTCTACACTGGAGAAACCTGTACCAAACCTTGGGGTATATACTATATAGTCCATCTGTTCGGTGAAAGATTTCAAATATGAGTGAAAATGTAAAATTCAGAACTCAACAACTTTTGAGTAACAGATGCGTATTCGCTGAATAAAACTCAGAGTGCTTTGCTATGTTGGAGATGAGTCAAGAGTTTTTTTTTTCTTTTCTGTGTAACTTCTTTTTCTCTGCTTCTTGTAGTGTAGGTGTTCGAATATTTGAAGATATGACGGAAGTAAAGGTATAAATTTATCAAGTATCACAATTAATTTGAAGTTCTTGTAGTCATGCTATGGCCTGATTCTCCATACTGCTTTTAATTGGGAAAACTGGTTCTCCATACTGCTTTTGGTTTCCACATATAAAAAGGTGGTTCCCTTATTATGCTCCTGTTAACTTCATTTATCTATGCATAGAGCTGTAAAGTTGTGCTCGTCAAGGCTGTTGGCGTTGTTGAAGCAAGTGCAAACACTATTTTTGAGATAGTGCTAAATCTTGATCGACATCAAAGATACGAGTATGTTTGGCATTTGTCTCGGTAGGTATTTGAATCTTCTGCACTCTAAATTTATCTAATAGTGCTGCTATGCAATAGGTGGGATACATTGACAGGAGACCTGGAGTTGGTTGCTTCCTTGAGTGGACATCATGATGTTGTTTATGGGACGTTTGAGCCAAGGCACCTGACATGGTAATCTTGTAATTACTCAAACTATTAGGCATAGTTGTGATTCATTTTCTGAGTTGCTAAGTACTTATATGCCTAATCATTTAGTGGTCTTGAATAGCATGCTCACTAAACTGTCTGCGCTTCTTTATTGTGAAGTAACAGTCAGTCCATGTATTTTTCGACGCGATTTTCACTTTGGGTCATTAGGAAACAGTCTCTCTGTGCTTTAGTACAGGGGTAAGACTGCGTACACCTGACCCCCCTTACCCCACCGTAGGTGGGAGCCTTTGCGGCACTGGGGTAATGATGATGAATAGCATGCAGCCTTACATTTGATTGTGTACACAGTTCATGATCTTTCTTGGTTTGTGCTTTATGTAAGTTAGCAATTATTGCTAGCCCACCACCTCCCTCGTCCACCCTCTTCACTCCGTCCAACATATACATTAGTACATTACTTGATGTTGGGGGAGACGGGCAGGAGAGAATAGGTAATACATTAAGCTTCTAGGGAATTATGAAAGACACATGAGGCTACATTTTGACAAGTAGATAATGTTGGAGAGCTAGAAAAAGTATGTTGGAGATTAAAAGAGACGTCAATAACTACTGACTAAAATTGGGGCTTTCCATGTGTACTTTTCTTCTCGACAGATTCACTATGCCCCATAACATGTTCAACTTTAATATGCATGCCTATAATTTTCACAAGCACATGCCATACATGGTTTCAAACCCCACCCATAGTGGCTTTCATATGTGCTAGCCCCTGTGCTACTGCTTTCTTTGTTCTTTTCTTTCCTTAGGGCACAAAAAATGCACAAATTTAGTTTCTTTTATTTTTTTTTCTTTTCATTTTCACTTACAAGCTAAAATTTTAAGACTGCTTGTAAAGATGTCCCAAGCGCACTGTCACTATGAGTTTGCATGCAACTATGACTTGCTTTCTTGCTGAGGATTCAAGTGTGATACCAATCCTCTGCCATATTTCCTAACTCTGTTAATATTATAACTACAACTTATTTCTATCCACTACTCAGATTTGTTTCTGCAGGTGGCACTCTAAGAGAGATTTTGTCTTTTCCCGGCAATGGTGGCAAGGTCAAGATGGAACTTATAGTAAGACTTATGAACTCTTTGTACCCTTTATATTGACGTCTGTGTATGGCAGCAAGCTAATTTGAGTGATAAATTGATATTTGTTAATAAACGCATAAATAAAAATGTAAGACATCAATTTATATATATCCAGAGAAGAAAAAAGAATTATCAGTTTCTATTGCCTTGATTAAAATTTAATTAGATACTACCTCCGTCCCACTAAGATTGGGGCATGAGGAAGTGATGTGATAATCAAGAAAGGTTGAGTTATGTGGTTGATATTCATCATCATCATTACCCTAGTGCTGAAAAGGCTCCCACCTACGGTGGGATTGGATGTACACAGTTTTACCCATGTATTAAAGCATATAGGGACTGTTTTTGGATGACCCATAGTGAAAATCGCATCGAAAATTGCATGGATTGACTGCCGCTTCATAACAAAGAATCTCAGACAGATTAGTGAGCCATTTTGCTTTATTCCATCGTAATCCCAAGCCAAAAAATAGTGAGTCTTTGGCTTCATTGAAAATGATGGAAAATATGTGGTTGATATTGAATAGATAGAATTCGAATAAGTTAGAATGAACTAGGATTACACAAATAAAAACAGATATGATATGGCACAATCTTAGTAGGATGGATGAGAAGGAAAGATGGGACAAAGATAGTGGGATAGAAGGATTAATGATTTTTCTGCTAAGGAATCAAATTTAAGGGTCAATTTTTTTCTATTATTATGTTTAACATTCATATCTAATTTTTTTTTGTAGAAATTCCTCAGATTGGTTATTTAAATGTGCAGTAATCTTGCAGTTTCCAGCTGTTCATAAGAATTGGGCTCCAAAATCTGGATACCGTCGCACAAAAATAAACTGTAAGAGATCATCTTGATAATTCAATAAACAAATAAAGTTATGATCCGTTGAATGGACTCTTATCATCTTTCTTGCCGTAGAATATAAAGCATTTGGCATTTATTGGTAGTGCTCGTAATATGTTGTTATTATTTGATAACATGTGTATACTATATGGAGGAAGAGATAAATAAAAGGTTGCCATACTTCACTAATTGAATCATCATCATCATCATCATCATTACCCCAGTGCCGCAAAGGCTCCCACACCTTCGGTGGGGTAAGGGGGGGTCGGATGTAAGTAGTCTTACCCTTGTACTAAAGCACAAAGAGACTGTTTTCGGACGACTCATAGTGAAAATCGCGTCGAAAATTGCATGGACCGACTGCTTCTTCATAACAAAGAAGCGCAGACAGTTTAGTAAGCCATTTTGCTTTATTCCATCATCTTCCCAAGCCAAAAAATGAGTCTTTGGCTCCATTGCAAATGATTAAAAAACTTCACTAATTGAATATTCCATAAAGTATTGAACAGTACTCTTGATAGGTAATGGTCTACTCGTTAGTGTCGTCTACAGAATGGAAGGTCCTGCATACAGCATACATTGGCTACATTTGGGGTGGTGGGAGAAATCCACGGACCAGCCCTAAAAAAGAAATTTCTGTTTGGAGACTAAGCGGTAGGATGTGACAAATATGCCATGCTCACCACCCAATGTAGCATCTTTCGTGGTACAGTTAAAGCTTTTGAGGAGTGTCCGGAGAGGAATTCCCAAAACCCTTTTTATAAATGATAGTATATCAGATATAAGTTTAACTTTCAAGAGACTGTTTTAAGCAAAACTAATTAGAGGAGCCATAAGGCTCTTCATGGCTGCTTTACCACATCACCCAAGTTACTAGTACAAAGCGGAGCTGTCACATCTCCTCATTCTAAATATTTTCAGAACATTTTATTATTGAAGTACTTAAATGAATTTATTTGAGTAATTATCAAGGATTTGGTTTTATTCTATATCATCATCACCATCATTACCCCAGTGCCGCAAAGACTCCCACCTACGGTGGGGTAAGGGGGGGGGGGTCGGATGTACGCAGCCTTACCCCTGTTCTAAAGCATAAAGAGACTGTTTTCGCATGATCCATCGTGAAAATCGCGTGAAAATTGCATGGACTGACTGGTACTTCGTAACAAAGAAACGCAGACAGTTGAATGAGCCATTTTTTCTTTATTCCATCATATTCCCAAGCCAAAAAATAGTGAGTCTTTGTCTGTATTGCCGATGGAAATTAGATATGTATAAATAAAATCTACAATACTTTAAATTATAGCATATTCTATTCATATTTATTTTGTTTGTTTGTGTAATATATAAATAAAATTAGGTTTTGTATGAAATTATTCCTTATGTATTCTATATAAATAAGTACTCTTATGGTCATTTATCATTTACCACGACCGCGTCAAAACTCACTGATATTGGTCTTCACTCACCACTCCCAAATGAAGTTAGTGAACATGCTCAGTAGGGACATAGCTAGGGGCCATCCCGGACCCGGGCCTCCCAAGTTAAAAAAAAACTCAATATTTTATGCATAAAAATATTGTGTAGAAAGTTTATTTGAAAAACTAATTATATCGGCCGACCCTAATGTTCTCAAGCTATCCATGAGTCCATGATCGCTGCTTCTCATTTGATGTTGGGTCGCTCATTGTGAACTTGATGTTAACATCCGTAGAATAAGATTATGAACTCATGTATTTTGTTTTGTCTTGTTAATTCTTCATGACTTTGCTAATGTTGCAATATAGCTTCCTCATGGGAGATTAGGAATATAAGCACATCATCAAATTCTGCAAAATGTCTTGTGACCCTAATGGTGGAGATTCGCTCTAAAAACTGGTTCAAGTGGAAGAAGAACGACTTCTCTGAATTTGAGAAGACTATTCCATTTGGACTGCTAAGTCAAGTGGCAGGTGAATAGCTTTGCTTTCTTGTATCTTCTTTGTAAAGTTTTGATTCTTATCTAAATTCTCTTGGAGTCTTGGAGAGTAAATGGACAAATCTTTATGGGATGCTTTTGGTTCCCTTTTCTAGAGGCTTTCATGTGTAACTGTGTAAGTGATATCAGAGGGGCACCGAATCGTAGTGCTTAAGTGTTTTTTTCTCCTTCCTGCATGCCTTTCACTCGTGGTTGCAATAAATTCTCTCTCTTATTATTGTAGGTCTGAAAGAATATATTGGAGCAAACCCAACACGCCCGTTCAAGTCATCCGGTGTAAGCTTTAACTCAAAAAAATCTGATGCTTATGCACACAATAATGTACTTGAGGGCACAGAAGGGGTGGATTTGTTTTACGATGCAATAGCCTCTGATTCGTCATCATCTGATGAAGATAGTGATGATGAAGTGGAACCCATTAATAAGGTTTGTTGTTCGTTTTCTCATTAAAGTGATCTAAGGAGGCATGGGTAAATGTTTCTTTTTTAGTAATGCATATCTTTAATGATCTTCATTTTACCTTGTTTAGGAAAAAGTAGTTAAAACAAAGAAGGTTTCATGGGCAACAGCAAGATTAGCACTAAATCGAGCTTCAGGTATTTTCTCAGTACCATCCTTTCCATTCAAAATGATTTCTTTCTTAGTTATACTTGTAACTATTAACTGATTAGACCACCAGACAACATAATTGTCTCAATAATTTGATCTGATATTTGTAAAGAAGTAATTGTCCAATGGAATGTACCACTGCTTGTTAGAGATGGAGTGCAAGGATCTGTGAAATGATTTTGGTACGAATTATCTATTATCTTTGATCAGAAAACAGGTGGGGGTGCCTTCAAGTCATCTTTCTTCAGTTGTTCAAATCCCCTATATTATTATTTTTTGCTGTATTGGTTACTACTATTGTTGTTGTTATAGTAATAATAATGACTAACAACAGTAATAATAATTTCTTGTTTGATATTGCATGAGGGTTGTTGGAATGGAATTGAACCCCCTACTTAGGGTTTTTTGGCCTAACAGAGATATCAGCAGACCACTTGGGTTTTTGCTCGCCCTTTTATTGTGTAAATTGGATATAATTCCTGTCGTACTTGGTACTTCTATAGTAGGTTCTTGACCACTTCTACAATACTAAACTCATTTTGATCAGATGTAGCCAAAAAGAGAATGAAATCAATGAATGCCATGACTGAGTGACGAACATATATCATGGTTCTTCTTTACTCCCCCCAATAAGATGTAGTGAAAGACAGAGATCTTCTTAACCATAAAGTCTCAATTTGGCTTATTAAACATCGTGTTAATAACTCGTTGCAGCAAAAGATATTGGCAAGGAGTTCAGTACAAATTCAACTTTATCTCTCAGTCCACGTTATTTTTATGGTACTATGAAGCAAGGGAAAGATGTGAATGACCTGAGCTGCTGGAACTCTCCTGGGGGTTTGGGATTCATGATAAGAGGAGAGTCATACTTAAGAGATAATAGAAAGGTATTTGCTAACATGTGCAGTTATGCATTGCTACACTGTTTGCTGATAGCTCTTACTGATACACTTATCAGTGAGAAAACCATAGTCTGCATAGTCTACATCAGTGAGAAAAAGGTTGAAATTACTTTGGACACAACCGTAGTCTGCACGTACTAACAAGAAGTCCTCTAATAAGATTAGGTCAAAACTGGTTTTGGTTGTCCATGAAGATGTTATGAAGTCGGATCTTTAATTTGTATTGCATTCCTTTTGAATATGAATATTATACTCCCTCCATTCCACAAAGATACATTTCCTTCTTTTTTGACACACATTAAGTAGTAATAGTCAATGTAGTAAAAAAAGATAAATATTGCATATTTGCATCTATTTTACATGTATACCTTCATATCACTTTAATTATTTTAGTTAACAATCCATTTAGGATACATTAATCAAGGGTGTATATGGATTGAAGAACTAATGATGCATTTAGTTTAGAAGCTGAACTATCTTTGTGAGACGATCCAAAAAGGATTGGTGGTCTATGTATGTGAGATGGACATATTCGAAATTAAGGTTGCTTTGATTTGATAGTTGATGCTACCATCTTTCCAGGTCAAGGGTGGAGATCCACTGTTCAATCTCATTGCAGTTGATTGGTACAAGGTGGAACATTGTATCACGAAGGTTGCATTGCACCCCAAGTGTCTTGTTCAGGTTTGAGCATCTTTAATGCTCTTGGGTCCAATAGTTTGATCTCTTACAATGGACCCAACTTTTATCTCATAATTTTTATGCAGGTCCCGTATGGTCCTAAGTCAATTTAAACTTTTATTCTTAAGATCAGACGTAACCCACTTTTCAGTTTTAAGTCCTGTTTAAGGTCCACATAGAGACATTGCCATAAAGTAGAACCAGTTCACGAATTTGTCTCCACCAGTCTTCATTGATATTAAATTAAGCAAAAAAACTTTTTTCTTCTCTATTTCTCTCCTATGTCACCTAGGATAGACCACACAGAATTCACCCTCCCATTGAAGATCGGGAGTACACAAAACTTGGCTTTGTTTGTCCTTGGCTTTTCTTGTAAAGAAACCCTTATATATATTTTAATAATTGAGAGAAATCCTTGCATCATAAAGTTGTGCAATCAACGGTCAGACCTTTGTGGGCACATTCAGACTTTTCATGACTGGTTTATGCTTATAAACTCTAACTTAAATATCTAAAATAATGAATTGTTCTTATTGCAGTCTGAAGCAGGGAAAAAAATTCCATTCATCCTTGTAATTAACCTTATGGTATGTGTAAGAATGCAGGACTGTTTTTAATGATTTTTTTGTTTAAAGTGAATACTTTCAACTTTTTATATAAGGCATGTAATGTGCAAACGTTGGGCTGTAAGTGGGATATCTCTAGTTCTTAAAGCCATTGACTGGTTATTATAACTTCTCTTTTGGTCAGTTTGGGCAGCAAAAAAACAGGAAAGGGCGGATTATAAGTATTTGTGTTAAACAAAACGAGGCAAAATGACCGGTAATTACTTTTGTAATGAAAACACGGGAAATGATATTGTGGTGTTATCTGCAGGTTCCAGCCAAACCAAATTACAGCCTGATTCTTTATTTTGCCACTAATAAGCCCATCATAAAGGATTCATTGTTGGGTAGATTCTTTGATGGTACCGATATGTTTCGTGATTCAAGGTTCAAACTTATCCCAAGCATCATTGAGGTATCATCAGACTCATCAGTAATCATAGTTATCTCTTTTGATAATCTTTTTAAGTATATCCTTCACACCAGCTTAATGCTTTGTCTTTATAATAACAGGGACACTGGATGGTCAAACGTGCAGTTGGGACTAAGGCTTGCCTGTTGGGCAAAGCAGTAGCATGCAAATATCTTTGCCAGGACAATTTTCTGGAGGTTGGATTCCCTAATTATGCCTTTTGTCCGTAGTTCCGTATTCATAAATATAGGGGTTTCCAAGTGCGTTTCACCTATCCCATTTGTTTTTAATGAGCTTGGTCAGTCTTTAATGACCAAGACATGTGGAGCAGTCGATCAGGCCATGGACTTATATCCATCAGGAGGTTACCAAGTGCTCACTCAATGAAATTGTGTGGTACTAGGGCACAGATGGTCCCAATTTTCCTCTCCAATGCCATGTTAGCCCACTGATTGTTTTCATTTTGTTTACACTAAGTATGTTAATAGAGCTGTTTTACATAACTTAAAACAGTGCTATGTTAGCTCGATGAGTTCATATCCCAAATATTCTCCTAAGTAAACAACCCTCGGAGATCCAACCTTAGGGTTGGGGTTGGGGACCTTAGCTGATGTTATACAGTATTTATTACTTCTGGTATCTTCTTCTGAGATACTTGAGTCTGATCTTATTATTAATTACAACTTTGTATCCAGATTGATGTAGACATTGGCTCATCCTCTGTTGCAAGGAGTGTCATGGGGCTTGTACTTGGATATGCATCTAGCCTTGTTGTTGACCTTGCAATTCTACTAGAGGTACTTCATTTTTTCCTATTATTGTAAAATGAAAACTTTCCATGGAGACTGCATATAGAAGAATTGCCTCACCAATGATGACTACCAACTAAAATAATGGTAGTGAGCAAGAGTTTATCCCAATTGCAAAAGCTTAGTATGCAAGTGTGAGGTAAAAGTAGACCCTTTTGGAGTGAGCTAGAACCAATTTAACAAAAACGTGCAAGTGCTTACTTTAAGGGCAAACCATGAAAACAACATGAAATGTATCAGTATTCACTCCATGGGGTGAGCATTTTATTGGTCAATACTCATCACAAACACACAAATGGATAAAGGCTTACCATATATGCTTGATAAGTCAGTTCATGATACATTTTGTATATGTTGCTATTGATTCCCTGAGGATTTAAAGTTCATTTATATGTTTTCACTCAGAAGTGTTGCTCTGAATAACAGGCAAAAGAAGAATCAGAACTTCCGGAGCAAATTCTTGGAACTGTTAGACTTAATCGCGTCACAGTTGATTCTGCTGTTCAGTTGGAGGTTTAAATATTCATTTGCAAAAATTATATCTCCACATGTATCATCCGAGAGAGTGCTACATAATGAGACTATTTTTGTAACTGTATATAAATAGAAATAGTTTGTACATATCAATAATTTTGGTTTCTTTATTGATGCTGCCATTGATGTCAAGAGAAGAAAGCTGACATTTTGCTGTCCTCAAGAGGGGGAAATGAGAATGTGGTGGCACTTGACTTGGGGTTCTCTGTTTTTTCAGAGGCTCAAAAGATTAGTGCAATATGCTAAACGGCCAATTGTTTTTGCTTCCAACATTCACTTTTGGTCCCTAAGCCACATTTCAGTCCTTCATCAGTCATTATGACTCGTTAATTAGTAATCAGGCATCATTCAATAAGTATGTGATATATATCAGGTGTCTCATATTATATGCCCGAAGACGCATTTAAAAACTTTGATTTTTGTCGTGAACTTGCGAGTTGTAATGGAGAATAACTTTTCACATTTTAGTTGCAAACTGGCCCGAGTTTGGGTGCTTCGTTGCTTATACTTTTGGTCAATGGATTACGTAAAAAGAGTGGAAAATAGCGGGAGTATCACACGCCTTACTTTTTGTGTTTCTCCCGACACATGGGGCCCATTTCTACCTAGTACTCTTACATGATCGGAAATCGGAATATTACTTGCGTACACATTTTCAATTTTGCCCTTTTCGTATCCCTCACCTCACTTTTGTTATAGCTAAATCTAAAAATTGATATATGAAAATGCTATTTGTACATGGCAAAGTGTACGTGCCATTTTACACCCGCCGCATTATAATATGAGATAGACACGTTGATCGGTGTTTTGTGAAGAAAACTGATGAACGTGTAAAATGACGTGTAAATGAAGCATGACTACTACATGCGGAGTACTACGTATATTATTATGACAAGTTGATCCTTCTACATGTTCTCAAACACAGGGAAAATAATGAACTCATAAACACAAAAGTATAAAAAAGATTTTTTACTTTGTTATTCCCAATCAAATTTATATATCTGCTGTTTTTTAATTTCAAGTTCATCTAAAGATAATTTCATTTTGTAGGCATTTAGAACTTACATCAAGGAAATAATAAGATTTGAATGACATGATGAGTCAAAGCTTATTTCAGCTATAACATACCTTTTAATGATAAGTACTTAAGAATATACGGAGTATATGTAAGGATTGATCGGGGATATGTGTGGTCCTTCCAAGCTTTGGCCATGATCTCAAGTCTTAAAAAAGTTATTCTCGTAAGTAAAACAAGAAGTGTTCATTTTAGGCTAAATGATCAAATAAGTTGATATACTCCCTTCCTCAATTACAAAAAACTTCTATAAGAACCATCAATAATGGAACAATATAATAATTTGAAAGAGAAATAATAATGGGGATAATACAAACAATTTTAAAATGTTTACAGAAAAAAGTAACAATGTGAATTGAATTGAACAATTTAGACCGAATTATCAATGGGGTAAAGTAAACAATTAATATCGATGCAATGGTCTATTTCACTCTAGGGTATTCAATGAGATAAAATAAGTGAACAATCGGAGAAAAATGTTGTTGACGATTTTTCACTTTTTTTTATTGACGATTTTAATTGGAGTGAATTGAACAACTCAATTAAAACACTTTGAATTGACTAAATGGCTAATCAACTAAACTATAAAAACTAAACGAATAAAATTTGTCGTATTTAGCAATTCTCAATAAATAGGAATAACTTCAATCATATCTATTTTCACTACTAAGCAACTCAATGAGTGGGATCATGACGATAAACCAACAATTAAGATAGTTACACAAGGATACGAACACTTTAATTAATTTCCTAAATAAGGATAATTTCTGTCTTATAGTTGTTTCGTCACATGTCATTCCTATTTAGAGCATCTCCAGTGCATAAACATGAAAGGTGCATATGTGACATTAAAGATAACCAATTAAAAAACAACAAATAAAATATTTCTCTCCTTATTTGAACATCTTATATGTTTTTGGTAAGTTTCTCTCTACAATGTCAAACACAATGTCTATATGTAGACATTGTGGTCGACATTGTTGAGAAAAACTTATCAAAAACACACAAGGCCGTTGACAGAAGGAGAGAGAAATGTCATAAATTTAATCTTTTGTTTCTATCTCTCTCATGTCACATGTGCACCGTGCACATTGTAGAATTGGAGATGCTCTTAGTAGTCTAGCACGTAGTATAGCGGGGAATGTTATCCAAATTTTATTTATTTGTAACTTGTGTAAAGTTTTGTTTATTTATCTGATTTCTTTGTATCGTTTCAGTTCAATTCATATGCCACCGGCTACATCATAACACTATCACATAAGAAATAAAGACATGCCACAATATTAGTTTTATAAAATTAAAAATGACAAATGATCAAATATGAATACTGATGTAATTCTTTGTAATTTTTGTGAAATATTCCATATTTATATTATCAATGTAATTACATGATGAATTATTCGTTGTTGTCAAGGTAACCATGAAGATTGAAGTACATTTTGTTAAATTCTTGATATAAATCATGAGTACTATTTTTCTTTCATTTATACCTGATTACAATCCTAATGACGGTGGTCAACCGGATCCAATAAAATAAGAATTATTGTCCTCAGAATTTTGTGAATAAGAATTGAAGATTGAACTTTGAACACAGGCACATACTGTCTCATATATAAGGTCATACACATCTCTTTGATGATTTGCTAGCTGTTATCATTAACAAAAGTAATTAACAAAAGTCTCTCACGGTCCCCTCTTGCTTCTAAAGAAATTCAATTATGCTTTCACTTTACTTTATTCACATTTAAAATTTCATTCTTTTGGAATAAGTTAGGTCTTAGATGTTGATATTTGTCTATTCCCATTTATATAAAAAGTGATGAAAAGGCATGAGTGTACTGTAAAATACTTGTATTCAAAGATGTATTGGATTAAAGTGAATATATAACGATAATAATTACTCCCTCCGGTCCTTATAAAACTTTACACTTTGACTTTGGAAACAAATTTGATTTTACTGTAGAGTACACTGTTTGACACTATTTGACACTATTTTGCACTGTTTGGTGTAGATTTGTTTGACAAATAAGGTAAATAAGGAAGTGTAAAGTTTAATATGGGATGACTCAAAAAGGAAAGTGTAAAGTTAATTAAGGATCGGAGAGAGTATATAATAATGAGTAATGGCACTTTGACTACCCTATCATACACCTCCAAATTATTGTAATTCATATCATGTCATAATAAATTAATAATGGTCATTACATATGCTATTCAAGAAAAGTTACAATAGTAGCTTCAAAGATATAGTAAAGATATTAATGTGGTCTAAATAATTGATCAAAACATGACTTTTATAGCAAAGTGACCGACGGTGCAGATAATTTCAGTGATCTTGATGATATCTGATTTTAATGGCATTTTTAGAGTAACCTGATAGATTATGAAGACATATTTTGACTCCATAAATTTTAATTTTACATCTCCCATGGGCCATTCCCCCCTCTCAACCACCATCTCCACTACTGTCCTGTAAGTTCCAATGGTGATTCTTCTTCATCTTTTACTTCTCTCTGTATCTCCTCCCCTCTTCATCTTAGCAAGGCCAGTTTCAGCTGTGGACCCCATTACAGAATCTCTCTTGAGTTTGAAATCCGAAGTGATTGATGATTCAACCGCTCTGGGTGACTGGGTTTTACCCAGTGCAGAATCGAATTCTTCAACACAAATCCATGGATGTTTCTGGTCTGGTGTGATATGCAATGAGAACTCAACAATGTTGGTTGGGTTAGACCTTTCTATGAAGAATCTCAGAGGGGTTTTATCCGGGAACCAATTTGGGGGTTTTCTTGACCTTCTTGATCTCAACATCAGTAATAATTCCTTCTCAGGGAATCTCCCTTCCGGGATTTTCAATCTCATTAGTCTCAGAACCCTTGACATCAGCAGAAACAACTTTTCCGGCCAATTTCCGGCCGGAATCTCGAGTCTTGAGAACCTGGAGATTCTTGATGCCTTCAGTAACATCTTCGCAGGGAACTTACCTTCTGAGGTTTCAAAGCTTAGTTCATTGAAAATGTTAAACTTTGCAGGCAGTTATTTCAACGGCTCAATCCCCTCAGAGTACGGCTCTTTGGGTAATCTTGAATTCATCCATTTAGCAGCGAATTCCCTGACTGGGAAACTCCCACCTGAATTTGGAAAGCTGAAAGCTTTAACTCACATGGAGATAGGCTACAATGCTTATGAAGGAAACATTCCGTGGCAGTTCGGTAATTTGAGTGAACTTCAGTATCTTGACATTTCCGGCTCTAATCTCTCCGGCCAAATTCCGAGAGAGTTCGGGAATCTCACCAAGCTGGAGTCACTTTTCATGTTCAGAAACTTTCTTGATGGAATTATTCCCCAGGAACTAGGAAGAATCAGTTCTCTCCAAAGCTTGGATCTTTCCGATAACATCCTCTCCGGGCCTATCCCAGAGACCTTTTCTGAGCTCAAGAAACTCAAGCTTCTCAGTATAATGTACAATGAGATGACTGGGAATGTCCCAGAAGGCCTCGCGAAGCTTCCCGGACTTGAGCATCTTCACATTTGGAGCAATTTCTTCAATGGATCACTTCCAGAAAGCTTGGGGAGACACTCGAAGATCAAAAGCTTAGATGTTTCGACAAACCGCTTTGTCGCCGGAATTCCACCGGGATTATGCTCCGGCGGGGCGCTACAGATGCTGATCATGTTTTCCAACAGCTTTTCAGGCCGGGTCGACCCGTCCATCTCAAATTGCCCTTCTTTGATTCGGGTCCGCCTGGAAGATAATTCATTTTCAGGTGAAATCTCTCTGAATTTCAGCAAACTTCCCGACTTGACGTATTTAGACTTGTCGGGAAACAACTTTTCCGGTGGAATTCCGGCCGATCTTGCCTTCGCTTCAAAACTCAGATACTTTAATGTCTCTTATAATCCATACCTTCGAGGGACAATTCCGGAAAAAACATGGACGATATTGTCTCTTCGCAATTTTTCCGCTTCCAATTGTGGAATTTACGGAAATATCCCTCCGTTCAAAGAATGCAAGTCAGTATCGGTTATTGAATTGAGTTTCAATAACTTATCAGGGGTAATTCCGCAAAATTACAACTGTAAGGAGTTAGTGAAGATGGATTTATCTCTGAATAAATTAACGGGTCAAATACCGGGTCGGGTATCGGAAACCTTAAAAATCCTTAACCTGTCGTTTAATGATATCTCCGGTTCAATCCCGAAGCAGTTTTGGGCCATAGACAGCTCTTACTTCCGCGGAAATCCTAAGCTCTGTGGGCCGCCTCTACAGGCCTGCTCTAACGGGCTGGACTTAAGAAATCGAAAGACACAGAGAGTTATTTGGGCTTTGATTACTTGCGGGGTGGTAGTCTTATCTATTATAGCCGGGGTATTTGTGGCTCTCTATTACTTCCACAAGGCCCAGTGGAAAACGGTGTCGTTTAACGAG